AAGTTCGACCAAACTATATATATATATATATATATATAAAGAGATTCGATAAAGAAGAAGACATATAGATTGTGTGGTTCAAATCTGTATATGAATGTACTACATTCATAGCTCAAAAATGAAAAATCACATGTGCTTCATGTTTTAAAGTAAGTATACTAATCTATGATGTTGAGTGGAGGCCTATCCAAGAGGAGGAATACATAGCGAAGAAGAGAATGATTAGATTATGTTGGACAGAAAATGTGCATGGGGCTTGATCAGGAGGGTTTGGGAAAAAAGAGGAAAAATGATTTAATGACAATGAAATCTTATAATGTGTGATGGTCTAAAATTTTTTTTCATTCCTTTAACTTAAATGGGATATGTAATATTATATATATTTAATTGTTTCATGTCATAAAGATACTGTAAGATTCATTATAAGAATTTTATTATATAAAAATCAAAACTAAAGAGATACACCTACAATCCTTATTATGATACATAATTACATTAATAGTTAGTCTGACTTGAAGGGAATAGATGTGTTTACATCCATTTTTACAACAAATAGAACAGTATCATGTGTCATCCATATTGGCGGCTATTTTGTTTGTTAAAGAATTATTTTGTTGATGCAAATTTTTCTCAAATAAAACTTGGTTGGGTTGTTTCCATGTCATCAATAAAACAATTCAGTTGTTGCATATCTTTAGGAGCATGATTAGCAAAACCAATGGGTTAGTCAATTTGTTGTAGATTTCATATTGTCATAGATCTCTAGCATGCTGTCAAGGGGTGCTTATTATTATAAATACTTGATGACGAAATCAAGCAAAGCAAGACAAGATCTACCTCTCACACAACTAGCCTAACGCTATCTACATTTCAATTTTCACAAGCAATATCTTAGTTCAGCTCTCCACTTTCCCAAATGGCTTTCTTAGTTTAGTCTTTAGCTCTAGGCTGCTATTAGCTTTAACTCTAGTTTTTGTTATTTTGGTTTGAATGTCTCCACTCATGTATTTGATTTCCTACAATTCAATTTACTACACTTTATTGCAATTCAATTTACTACATTTTGCTCTAAATTCATCTTCCTACCTTCCTTTAAGTTTAGTTTTATACTTCCTTGATTGCACAACCTTTATTTCATTCTTTATGTTTACATGCTTTTGCAGTGGCCTTACACTTCCTCCTTCTAATATAGTTTTCCTACCATGCACTCTCTTGCCTCTCTTTTCCTCTGTTTTTCTCTTTTATTTTGATTAGTAAACTAACATTTGGCCTTCGTTGTCAGAAGTCTGTGATATTCTTCCAAGACAATTATTCATGGACCTTAAAGCAATTATTCATGGACCTTTATGCAAAAATGCACTCCCATTTCAATGACAATCATTTGCTAGGATACATCTTATAATTTATTTAATCACCACTCTTCATTGACTCATAATCGAGTTCTACACTTAAAAATAGTGAGGGTCATCAAGAATCCCTCTTTCTCATTTTGAGCAAAGTGAATGGCATGCCTTCATAATCCTGTTTGCCACCAGCCAGAAATAGACATTTTGGAGACAATAAGATGAGTTTTCTTTTAATTTCTTTCATAATTTTAGTATAAGAAAATGAGAGAAAGGAATGGCCCCTCCCTTTCCCTCCTTTCTCATCCCTCTAATTTTTCTCAAAGTAAACAGGAGGAAAATAATGGAGTAATAATTGTCAAATGCAAGGTTTAAATCTTATGGTCAACATCTAAAGAAATTATAATTTCTTTGAATACACTGATCTAATTTGGGGTGTGGGGTGTGCTCTTAATTAAAACCACTCAAGAATATATTAGTCTCTAGATGTGTAAAGGTAGTCTAAAAATACCGTAATTTTTTTTTTTTAAAGGAGTAATTATTACTTTCCCTAAAGATAAACAAATCTTGATGCTAAAGTACCATAAAATAACAAAAATGTGACATTTATAATACTATGTAATGTTGTAAGTTTATAACTGTTACAATTTAAAGATTGACATACATAGAATTTAAAATACTAAAATCTAACAAAATAAATTAATTGTATACCTCAATCTCTATAATCATTATGTTTCTCAAGAATCTCCAAGGATGATCATAATTTTGAATCTTATAATAAAATATATGAAATAAATATAATTAGTATTGAGATTTGAGTTTTATTTTTTCTATTCAACTTCTATATAATAACAACTAATAGAGTATGTCACTTCTTAACTCCACTATTTATAGAGTTAGGATTTTTTGAATGGGATAGGAAACATAATCTTTTAAGAACCCTTATCAAGTAAATCTTTTAAGAACCCTTATCAAGTAACTTACTTTTAATTTCAGGCCATAAATCTATTCATCTTACATCATATGATTTTGAGATAAAAATTAGATCTATTTTGATTATATAATTTTATTGAGTTTTATCCGTTTTCTATTTGATTCAATTTTTTATAAACCAAAAACAATTAATAGTACCTTGCATAAACATTTTTAATGATAATATGATGTGTCATTATATAATTAATTTTTTTATTTAATTTTTTATTTATAATATTATATATATATTTATTTATAACCGCATTATATCTATATAAAACTATAAAATTATAAGTATAGTATTGTCTGATAAAATAAATCTTGAAGCTAAATTATCTTTGCTTACGTGGCACAGGACGTCCTTTGTCACTTTATCTTCTTTCTTTGGCGCTCCAAACGGTGCGGTTGTTTGTTTATGCGTCACAGCCAACAATCAAACTTAGTGGGCCTCCATTTACCAACAAATATTTCTACTTACACAGCTAAGCCAGATTCTGTTTCGGTGTTTTGTCGGCTCGCAATGTATCTTTGAGAATGAAGAAGTGCAAAATCTCCTTTATATTTACTTTAACTGTTTCAAATGTTACTTTAGGGGTCTAATGATTGATGGAAAGAGTAGAAATGTAATTATATATAAATTTTATATATTATATTTATATAAAATTTTAATTTTTTATTTTTTATTTTTTATTTTTAATAATTAAAATTTAGTATAATTTTTTAAATAAATAAATATTTATTTTAATAAATATAATTAAAAAATTAAAAAATAAATAAATTTTAATAATTAAAAATTAAAAATAAAATAATTAAAATTTTATATAAATATAATGTGTAAAATATTTTTTAATGAAATATAATGTATATAAAAATTAATGTAAAATTTAACTTTCACTAACAACTAAAAAAAAATCTCTCATTTTTCAAAATTTCCCGATGTATTAAATTCAGAATTAGTTTTTGCAGTCTTAAATAAGTAACATTTATTGCGAGGCTTACTTGATCAGATTGTAGTAATACAAAACATCATTCTCCATCATACTTCCTCCTTTTTAGAATAATATATATTTTTTATGTTCATAAAAAAAATTTAGTTTTTTAGGTATTAATCTTTTTTATGCTAATTAATTAGATATGTGATTGTAAAAATTGCATTTTAATTTATATAAAAATATATATATTTAAAATGATAAATTCAAAAGGTACATGATATATGGTACTAACATGTAGGATAAGTTCATATTGAAAAAAGTACAGAAATATTATTAATGAATAAATTTTTATACATGAAGAATTTTAGATAGGTTAGGAATTTAGGGATTTGGCGAGGTACATGAGAGGAAAAAGGGAATTTTTAGAAGGATCCATATGTGGTTAATGCGGCATGGAATTGTGAGTCCCATTTAGAGCAATTCAGGAGAAAAGAATAAAAATTATTGCAAGGGTTGAACTTTAATGGTAAAAAAAGTTATTGACTTATTGTTAAATGAAAAGTAGTAGCCGTGTCAAAAGTAGAGAGGTAAATGTTATGAAAACTTATGGCATATTTAGGTTGAGAGGAATAAAGGGAAAAAAAAAAAAAGGAGGAGAGGGGAATGAAAAAATATTATATCCTCCTTGGAATGTTATCCTTCCGTCTTCTTTCATTTTCTTCCCTCTCTTGTCCATGTCCTCTTCCCTTATTTAGATAAATAAATGAATTAAAAGAAAAAAAATGGAGTAAAGTACTTCCATCCCCTTTTCTCCAATTCTTTTGATAACTAAATAGAGAAATTCTTTCTATTTTGTTCCTCTTTTTCTATACCTTTCAACCCAGATATAGTGTTAAAATATAAGAAGAATAACAATATGGTTTGGAAGGGTATAGAGAGGATTTCAAATGATTTTGTAAGTACAGAGAGAAAAATAAATGAAAATTAAAAGTAGGAGGACTATAGTTACCTTTAACCCTTTGAGTAATGACATCTTTTGGCCGTTGGGTAATGACGTCTCCATTAATCAATTTTCTTCCTCCCATTTGACAATGAGTGCTCGGATGTTAATTATCTGAAAATAAAGTTGTGATGGCTGGGTTTGAAAAGAAGGAACAAAAATAAGAGATGGAGTGAGAAATTGAGAAATTTTGGTAGATGAATGACACCATGACAGCTGGTAACTAACTAAAGGCCGCTTCAAGCATCAATTCGATGGTTATGGCTGTAGCTTGGTTTGTTAAAATCATTAAAATTTAATTAATATTTAAATTTTTTTAATAAATAATTATAATATTTAAAAATATTAATTTACAAATTAATTTTAATTTATTAAATAATAAATATAAATTACTCTATTGATTATTATTTATTCTTAATAATCAAATCAATATCTTTTAAAACAAAGTTTTGGTAGTTTTAACAAAACAATTACTGGCCTTAACCACACCTTTCCACATTTCACTAAACTTCATTTAAAAATATATATTAATTATTTTAATTAATATTTTTATATATTTTTATTAATTTTAATTAATATTTTTATATATTTTTATATATTTTTATATATTTTAATTAATATTTTTATATATTTTTAAGATAATAAAAATTAAAAAACCTTACAATTAGAGCAAAGCGCTGCCAAATAAAACCTTGTTTTCATGATGAGTATAGTACTTAAATAAGACTTGTCTAGTTTGGTTTGTTAATTTTAGTTTTTTATTTCTATTTGTTTGTATTACTATGTATATTTAAAAATCAACATATATTCTAAAAATTAAAATTAATTATATTTAAAAATATAAAATAGTACTTATAATTATTAAATATAAATAAATAAAAACATAAAGCCTCATCTTTTATTATTTTAAGGATAAAATTATATAATAAAAGAGAATATTTTCTCATCTTTGTAAAACTTCAACCACTTGACCCGCACACCTACAACTTAGAAGCTTACATGTCTAACCTATTTCATTTAAAAGAGATATTCATCGTAAAACAATTTAAATAGTTGATAAAAACAAAATCCTAAAACTCAAAACATGACTAAACAGTGTAAAAGATATAGAGGTCATTTATTGAATTAAATTTTTAGACCTTTCTTTTTGTCCCTTGAAAAGCAATCAACTTTTGCAAAGTTGCTTTTCTGACCCGCCAATGGAGTTTTCATCCTTCAAGCATTTCTATGACCCTTGGAAGCAACTGTCTCGGGTCTTCAAAGCCATGCGTTCAGAGAATCCGATGCCCTGTTCATGTCAAAATAATAATATTTTTTTACTAAAACTTTATTTTAAATTAATTGTCGCTAACTTTTTAGATTGAAATATTTTTTTTTCAAATAATCCTATTTTTATCATATTTTTAATTTTTAAGGTATATAAATATATATTTTTTTAAAAATAAAACATTCTGATATTAAAAATATCAAAATTTGCAATAATAACCCTATAATGAATTTGATAAAATTAAAACTTATATTATATTTTACATATTTAATGGTTACTATTGGATGTCTTAAATTATTTTATTTTTCATTTTTTTTTACTTTTAACTTTGTTATTATTCTTCAATTTTAATTATATATTATATTATTAATTTTTTTTTTATCTTTATCTTAATAAGGTATTAAGTTAATATAGACAATAACATAAATGGTTTACAAATTTTTAAGATATCGATGTTTTTCAATAGGAATTGTTAAAAAGAGAGAGGATAATTTAGGTACTAAAATTATCAAAAGACAATTAATAAACAAACATGAAGACGAGTTTTTATTAAAGGTATCTTAATAATTTTAATATTTGAATTATTCTTTTTACTACAATTTGTGTTAAAAAAAGTTCTAATTTTTAATTTGAGAAAAAATATGGTACTATTTATATATATACCTATCAACAATAATATAATTATAATACCACAATTTTAAAGTTTTAATCATGATGTATCATAAAAATGTATACTAAAAATGTATATAATATCATTAATGAATTTTTAAATAAAAAATTAATTATATAATGATACATCATTTTTATAAATTTATAATGTTATATTATGCTGTAACTATATAATTTTCAATATACTTATAAAGAGTAATTTTATTATTTATTTTAGGTGGAATACCTTAACATCCACCAAAGATTGTTCAATGTACTACTTGAAAATAGTACAATTTACGGATTTGGGCAGGTCTAATTAATTTTAATTAATATTGTGTATTTCTAATAATTTTAATTAATATATTATATATTTTTGGCATAATAAATGATATGAAAACCTATAGTACAACACTGTAATTTTAATTATCATCTTAACTAGGTAGTTTTAATTTGGGAGAAAAATAGACATACAATGATTAATAGCTTGTATAATATGTTGTGCTAATATTTTATGATAAAGTCATTTTATTTGAGGGTGGAGCTTGAATTGGTACACAATTTCACTCTAATGCTTACATTGCATTGTACCCAACACTATTTTCTTGGACATCTGTATGAAGTGTTGTAGTTAAAATCATTATACATATGATATTGTTGTTTTATTTAGGTTAAAACAAGAAAAAGTTTTTTTTTTTTAAAGTATTGTATTAAAAAAGAATGAAAATGTTATGATGCAATATTATATAATATTGTAATCTTATAAATTATATGATTGATTTTTTTATATAGAAACTACAAATAATATTGTATATATAGTCACTAGTTTAATTATATTATAAGTTTAGAATATTATATCAATAATTTGTTGATCCAAGTAAAAGTAACTCGGTTCTCCTTAAATAAGATTTCAAATTCAAGTTTTGTGAATAAAAATATAGGTGCTGAAAAAGCTTCCCCCACATGGATACCGATCTAGCTTAACTCTAGACTAATCAGAGTTCAATGTAGTTTCTTACTACCGAGACTAGTGCCAAAAAATAAGTATACAATATTATTAATTATTTATTAATCTAAGTAAAACAATTATGGTTTCCTAATTCTTTTAAGTAAAATTTTTAATTTAAATCTTATAAAAAAAAATATGCATAGAAAAACTCCTCTTCTTCTGTGTTTGGGCTTGTCATTAAATTAATCAAAATTAATGTAACTTCTATAAAAACTTCTATAAAAGGGGGATTCGTAGAAGAAAAGAAATATGTTTACAATATTCCCTGTTATTGTACCTTTATCGTTTGAAAAGAAACAATAAAAACAAGCAAGTATTAGACAACCCCTCTCCGAAGTTAGCTGCCTTTCACATATCTCTTTTTTCTCTTCCTTCCTCAGGTAATATTCCACCATTTTCTTCCTTTTTCTTTTTGAATTTTATATTTCTGCAAATTTGATGCAGTCCAAGTTTCAGGAAAATTCAAGGAATCTTAGCTCCAAAGTTTTGCTTAATTCTTTAATACTATTAAACACATTAAACAAAATCCCTCCAACTTTTCTCAAAGCTTACACTTTCCAGTTGCTCATTGGCCTCATTATCTTCAGCATTTCTAAAAACTTTCTGCCTTTTCTCTCCTACTTCCCCAGCAAGTTGATTTCTACATTTTTTAGTTTTATCATGTACGAAACTCACGTACCCACGGACTCTGTATCGTATACATGTGAAGAACTTTGGTACTTGTTCTTTTTAAGGACGTTTTGAGTGTGTTGAACTTTGGTAAAATCATTGAGTTCAAATCATGGTGTAATTGGGTTTTGGTTTTTTTGCGCTAACTTTTTGTTGGTTGGTTTCAGATTTGAAGTTTTGATTGTGATCAATGTTGGGATGAAAGCATAGGAATTGGGGGTTTAAGTTTATTATGGGAGTAATGGGTTTTGGGAGATCTGGTGTGGAGTGGAAGAACTTGAAGATTTGTGCTCAGGTATATGTTGGGTTTTTGCTGATTTGTGTATCAGGATTTGCGGTTGGATTGACTAATCCCACTGATGGTAAGGCTAATTTTTTAGCTTTTAAATTTTCTTTATTGTGTTTGGTTGCTGAGAAAAGGATGGAAAATGAAAGAATGTGAAAGCTATCTGTTTTAAGTTCGATTTTTTTTTTTCTTGGAAACGGCACATTTTAAGTTTAATTACTACAGATAACTTGAATGGCAGAAAAAATAGAAAAAATTTGCTTACTTAAGGTGAATGGTAGTGAGAAGTCTAGACATCCTGACAGCTTCCTTTCTGAAAACTATATGCCATCGTTTGTTGGTCCATTTATTCTCTACTTCCAAGTTGTGGCTGGATTTTGAAAATGATTTTCTCTTCCATTTGCCTTAAAAAGTATATATAAAATCTGAACATTTCTCTTTTAGCTTTTTGTTATGATTTGCTTATGAATGTAATTTGATTGTTGGTTAATTTCCAGTTCTCATACTTGATTGTTGATTTTAAATGGAGATTTTTCTCTAATCCTTTGCAATTTTTTTTTTTTTTTGAATGATCAGTTGCTGCGATTAATAGCTTATACACTGCATTGGGCAACCCTGTACTACCTGGGTGGATTGCTTCTGGGGGAGACCCATGTGCTGAAGCTTGGCAAGGCGTGCAATGTAATGGTTCGGACATAATGAGAATGTAAGTGAGCTACTTCTTGGAATGTTTTAAGGTAATTGCTGTCTGGTGATATTATCAATATTGATATTTCTAACATGGTCTTGTTGTTTTTGGCTTTTGTAGAATTCTTAACGGTGCTAATTTGGGAGGAGAACTGAGTGATAACTTAGGAATATTTGCTTCTATCAAGACAATGTAAGTGGTATTCTCTCATCTACACACACTTGGAGATGAATGCTTATCCTTGTGCATACATTAGAGAATATTGCTATTATTTTCTTATTGATTTGATCAAAACATTCCTGCACATAGCATACTAGGGAGAGAATTTTTAACTCTTTTCTGGTTTGATGCATGGAGGTTCTCTGGGATGTTGTATTGTATTGACATTAAACTAAGAAACATTTTGTTGATTTCTCAGAACCATGAACTCTTTTATTGGCGTAGTTACTTGAGCTGTTCATATAATTGTATTATGCTCGGAATAGAGTTATTTGCTTCATTGATGGGTCAGCATGTCTGAATCACCTCAAATTAGGTTTATGGGTTTCTGTGTGACCAGCTGGATGGGTGAGTGGATGCTTCCCTTTATGTTTGCATGTAAATTGGGGAGGATGCATGTGGTAATCCTCCTTTATATCATAAAATCATAATTTGACCACATCTTGCTAAGTGTTTAGACAATCCTTGTCATTCTTATTTGTTTGTGGACATTGTCATCATTTTTGTTGTTTTGTGCTGTTTCAGAGATCTAAGCAACAACCACATTGGTGGCAGTATTCCATCCAGTTTGCCTGTTACCATGCAAAACTTGTAGGTTATATCTATTCATGAACTTAAGTTTTTGCCTGCAAGCTTTGACTTCATAAACTTTTCCTATAACCATCTTTAACAAACTTATGATATGTCTACATTTGGCAGTTTTCTTTCAGACAATCAGTTCACTGGAAGCATACCAGATTTACTTTCTTCTCTGACTCTGTTGACAGACATGTAAACTTTGACTTCTCTGCTTTTTTAGTTGATACCTAGTTGGCAATTCTCTCATTTCTTGCTGAGCACATTAATACATGACTTCATGACATATATTCTTTTCTTCTTTCAGGTCTCTAAACAACAATCTTTTGAGTGGCGAGATACCAGATGCTTTTGAAGCCCTTACTGGGTTGATCAATCTGTGGGTTCAAAGTTTTATTCAGCTAATATAGTTTCATTTCCAGGTATATTTATATAGGTTATTTATGGTTGATGGGGTCAATTGTCTTCATGTAGGGATTTGTCCAGTAACAATTTGAGTGGGCGGCTGCCTCCTTCTATGGAAAATTTGTCACGTCTGACAACTTTGTGAGGATCCTTCTCAAAATGATATTGGCTATTCCTGTTTACATAAATGGATATTTTGCTAACTTTCTTAGGTTGCAGACATTTGCAGGCCAATCAGATATCTGGAACACTTGATGTTTTACAAGATCTTCCTCTAAGAGATTTGTACTATTCTCAACCATATCATTTCTAACTTTTAACCTAAACTGCTTGTTTCTAGATTTTCTGTTTCCTGAATTAGATGATTATAAATTAAGCTTTAGACATTTGTAGACACGCATTTAGCTTACAATTTTTATTCTCTGTTTCTACTGCTTTTAGCTTACAATTTTTTTGCTTGATGTCCTGTTTTAAACAGGAACATAGAGAATAACCTTTTTTCTGGGCCCATACCGGCAAAAATGTTGAACATCCCAAACTTCAGGTGAGAACTACAGGATGGTTAACGAGATTAAGCTATGTTTTTTATTGCATTGAAAGCATTCATCAGTAACTAAGAACCATACTGTTTGATGTGCTTCCACTGAGGCTAAAGTAAAACATATCAGAGATGATTCTTGGCTTGCAAATTTTGGGGGATTGTCTTGCATACCATTTTCCCACACATTGAGGCTAAGTCAACCTGTCATAAGACTTGATTAAAATGTTGGTGAAGGATATATGTGATCAAAGTACCAAAATTACTAGCGCTATCTTCCCTAAGGGTTGCTCATGCTACTCTTTAAAAATTTTCTGTAGGTATAGGCATTAAAGTATATCTAGGGGGAGATGATTGGGTTAGAAATGTATTGGTCTTGCATTTTTCTTAAAGATTCTGCTTTCTTGTGGAAATGCATCATGATATGATTATTTTTTACTGTGAAAACTGCAACTTCTTTTACATTTCATGTGAATTGATAGGTGATTTTAATATGAAAAGTCTCCTTAATGAGTTTCTGATTGTCAATATGGATGGGTTTGGATAAAACAGCCTGAAAATGGAATTGTCCTTGATCACATTGTTTTCAATATCTGGGATTCTATCTTATGTTTGCATTTGGTGAAGGGGGCTCTGGTCTTGTAAGGTTCAAAACTTTTTTGTTTGTTACTTAAGCATTTGTTGGTGAATATTCAAATTCTCCACTAGAAATGATGGAAATCCATTTAATTCCACTGTTGCTCTGCTGCCTCCCACATCACCATTGTCACCACCACATGCACAACCGGTTTCTGGGACACCACCTTCTGAACAAGTGCCAACATCTGGAAAAGCCCCAGGGAAACATGCAGATGGGCCATCTGCAATGGACAAATCTAGTCCTGAAGGGAAGAAGAAAACTACCAAAAGGGTGGCCTTGATATCAATTGCAGTGGTGTTATCGATTATAGTTCTGGCATTAGCATGTTTGGTTTTTATTCCAAAGTGTTTAAGGAGGAGGGAAGAGGATGACAAAATTTCTAAGCAGCATCAAGTGGGTGCATACAGAGGCAACCGAGAGCAATCTGGGGATGAGGAGTCCCTGCCAACATATCAAAAGGATAAAGGCAAATAAATTTGCATTGAGTCCATTATTCAATTTAGACATAGATTTAATTTTTTGTGTTTTCAGGTTTTGATTCCCAAAAAGTGATCTGTTAACAACTTTTTGAACAGTGCCAAAAGAGGTTACCAGACCTAAGAATGATGTTCAGGCAGGGATCAGAAAAACCAGACCAATTGCAAAGCTACAGAATGACCAAGAGAAGAATGTGCAAAGGATGTCTCCTCCTCCTCCTCCAACTCCACCTCCACCTCTACTTCTCCCTCCACCACCACCACCAACCCTTGCTGAGAAGGTCATTGTGAAACCTTCTTCTAAAACACCAAAGTTGTCTGCATCTGCAAAGTCTTTCACAATAGCATCCCTTCAACAATATACAAACAGCTTTTCTCAAGAAAATCTTATAGGGGGTGGCATGCTGGGGAATGTTTATAGAGCAGAACTTCCAAATGGGAAGGTATGCTTGTTGATCTTTAACTTATTTACTATAATTAAATCAGCATTTTGTATAATAGGTTAACTGGATCCATTCTCATGCTTCCCATCTTTTGAAACTTTGGTTGCTTTAATATTCTGTGTTTAATGGATTTTGTTCATCTCTTCTGCTCAGCACTAGGCATTCTAAATGGATCTTCTTATGTTCTTTTCAGTTAAATTGTGCAAATATTCTAATTGTGCTTAGCCTTTTCTCTATCTATTCAATACCATTCTGTCACCAAGAGAAGGGAACAGAAATATGAAGTTAGACATTTCTTCACTGTCTTTTTTTAATTGTTATTTCAGTTATTTGTGTATCTATCCAATCCAGTAGTTATTTTTGCTTTCATGTATGGACTGTGGCTTCAGATTGTGACACACTATCACCTTGTATGCATTTGTAGCTACTTGCAGTTAAGAAACTGCACAAGAAAGCTTCAAGTCAGCAAAATGATGTTGAGTTTATTGAGCTGGTAAACAATATTTATCGAATTAGGCATGCCAATGTTGTGGAGCTGGTAGGTTACTGTGCAGAGCATGGTCAAAGGCTTCTGATTTATGAGTATTGCAGCAAGGGGTCACTCCAGGATGCACTTCACTCAGATGATGATTTCAAAAAGAATCTTTCATGGAATGCCCGCATTCGAATTGCACTTGGAGCTGCTAGAGCCTTAGAGTAAGCATATACTTTGAGATTGCTGTCAAGTTATCATGTTTGACATTTTTCTTCTTTATTTTTGAAAAAAAAAAATATTTTCTGCTATTAACAGGTTTACATTTTTAGAGGCTTTTGTTCTGTTGAGGAATTTCTTAGTAGATGAACCATTGAGAAACTTAGAAGTTAAATAATTAGGAGATTGAATATTAAACCACATTAATGAAAATGGAAAATGTGTGAATGATGGTGAGATGTCAAAAAGGAACCAGGAAATCATTCAGATAGTGGACCTTTGTGAATCTTCTAGTCTTTCCTGCCAGTGCACCGTGTCCTTGTTTTAAACTAGTAAAATATATGTATGTTATTAGTGCAAGATGTTGCTAATTCAAGCAACTGTTTACATTATTTGGTGTCATGCAATACCTTAAGTAACTATTATCAGACATACCCCGATACAATAGGGCTCTCTTTCACTCCTTCCTCCTACTTTTGTTGGTGTGCAAGAGTGGAAATGAAGTAGGCTCAACATTAATGGTGATCTTTTTCTTGTTTTGTGTTTAAGGTATCTGCATGAGGTCTGCCACTCACCTGTAGTCCACAGAAATTTCAAGGCTGCTAATGTTCTCCTTGATGATGAACTTAACGTGCATGTATCTGAATGTGGTTTGGCTCCATTAATAGCATCAGGCTATGTGAGTCAGGTAAGTTATAAGCTTCTTTTTTCCCTTTTTTTTTTTTGTTTATTTACCCCTCCTACATGGGAGCCATGGTCAAGGTTTGAACTTTAATTGGTGGGAATAAATCTTCAATTGTGTTGGGAATGGAATGACTCGATTGCGTTCCAACAGTTTACCGTTGTGCAATTCATATGCAAATGAAAAAGTACAATGTTATGAGGAAATTTCTGGAACATAGTAAAATTAACCTGTGGACCTGCTTGACTGTCCCCCATGCTTCCACCCTTCATCCTCCCCAACCCCCAACCCCCACTCCCCACAAATAGAAAAATAAAACCAAAATGTGAAAAGAAATATCTGTGACTTTTCCCCTACCTAATCACTTGTTGATCTAAGCTTTCAGAAAGTCGTATTGCATTCATCCATTGGGTGTTTATTCTGAAACTGTTCTACTTTCAGTTGTCAGGAAATCTTCTCACAGCTTTAGTCTATGGAGCTCCCGACTTTGAGACGGGAAATTATACGTCCAAGAGTGATGTTTATAGTTTTGGAGTAGTCATGCTTGAACTCCTAACAGGCAGAAAGTCACACGACAGGTAAATAGATAAAACCAGTCTGTCTGAGTATATGACATTTTATCTCATCTCATCAACTTCAATTTTCCTGAAAACTTTGGATAGCATGAGGAACCGAGCAGAGCAATTTCTAGTAAGATGGGCTATTCCCCAGCTTCATGATATTGATGCATTGTCAAAGATGGTTGACCCTTCTCTCAATGGAGAATATCCTGCTAAATCCTTATCTCACTTTGCTGATATAATTTCTCGTTGTGTTCAGGTGAGCATCACTGTTTTTTCCTATGTACCATATTAATCATGACTTATTTACTCACCCCTTGATCTGAACACATTTCCTAAATAGAATTGCATATGCTTACATAAATGTATTTGCAGTCCCAGCCAGAATTCAGGCCACTCATGTCCGAAGTTGTGCAAGATCTTTCAGACATGATACGAAGGGAGCGTCAGAGTAATGAGTCCATTGGGGACTGATGGCATGTATTATAGTAATAGAATTAGTGATATCAGTTTGTGAATTGTGAGTTTGCGAAGAGATTTGATCCATCCGATGTTGAGCCAGGAAGATTCTTCTACTGTAAAGAGGCTGCGGACAGATCCTCCTAATAACACACCCTACTTTCATCCCCAGCTCTTACCCAAGAAAGTTTTGAAGGTGGTAGGCTAGAAATCTTGGCACCGAAGCACCGACAAGCCTGATTCTTACTATCAATTGTGATCATGTAATGGTTCATTACATCATGCAACAATATCCTCGTTGTGGCAGAATCATGCTAACTTTATTGTTTCGTAAGTGGTAATTTTGTTACGGATTCTTGGTAATGATATTCCTTTTTGTAGGAACATGTGACACATCTTATGTCTAGTTTTTTCAGC